TGCACTGCTGGTGGGAATGAAAATTGATACAGCCACTATGGAGAACAGTATGGAGGTTCCTTGAAAAACTAAAAATAGAACTACCATACGACCCAGCAATCCCAATATCTCAGGCATATTCCCTGAGAAAGCCATAATTCAAAAAGAATCATGGGGCTTCCCTGGTGGCGCAGTGGTTGAGAGTCCGCCTGCCGGTGCAGGGGACACAGGTTCGTGCCCCGGTCCAGGAAGATCCCACATGCTGCGGAGCGGCTGGGCCCAAGAGCCGTGGCCGCTGAGCCTGCACGTCCGGAGCCTGTGCTCCGCAACGGGAGAGGCCACAACAGTGAGAGGCCCGCGTACCGCAAAAAAAAAAAAAAAAAAAAGTCATGTACCACAACATTCATTGCAGCTCTATTTACAATAGCCAGGACATGGAAGCAACATAAGTGTCCATCAACAGATGAATGGATAAAGAAGATGTGGCACATATATACAATGGAATATTACTCAGCCATAAAAAGAAATGAAATTGAGTTATTTGCAGTGAGGTGAATGGAGCTAGAGTCTGTCATACAGAGTGAAGTAAGTCAGAAAGAGAAAAACAAATACCGTATGCTAACACATATATATGGAATCTAAAAAAAAAAAAAAGGTTCTGAAGAACCTAGGGGCAGGACAGAAATAAAGACATAAGAATGGACCTGAGGACAAGAGGAGGAGGAAGGGTAAGCTGTGACAAAGTGAGAGAGTGGTATGGACATATATACACTACCAAATGTAAAATAGATAGCTAGTGGGAAGCAGCCACATAGCACAGGGAGATCAGCTCGGTGCTTTGTGACCACCTAAAGGGGTGGGATAGGGAGGGTGGGAAGGAGGGAGATGCAAGAGGGAAGGGATATGGGAACATATGTATATGTATAACTGATTCACTTTGTTATAGAGCAGAAACTAACACACCATTGTAAAGCAATTATACTCAAATAAAGATGTTAAAAAAAAAAAGTAGGGGGCAAGCATAGAGACAATATTCTAACATATTGTTGCAGGTAGAAAATCAAGGCAATCTAAATGGCAGATACAAGAATTTCAAAAAGAAAAAGAATAGTAGCCAGGGACCATTTAATACGGGCATAAAGAGGTTCACATACCTCTTGGAAATCATTATAACAAGTGAGTGTTAGATTTTATGGGGCCAGTGGTGATACTGAAACCTCCAGTAAAGTTCCGAGTAGCCCCATCACACTCTGTTTAAGGAAGCAGGGGGCCAGGTAATACATTTTAGCAAGATTGCTATGAAAAGCAGGCAAAATCATAAGAGAAAGAAGGTGTCATTCTTAGGTGCATTTCCTTCATAGCACCTCAATTATAATAGCATAGAGAACAAATGTATGGATACCAAGGGGTTAAGGGAGGAAGGGGGGGGTGGGAGGAATTGGGAGATTGGGATTGACACATATACACTATTCATACTATGTATAAAGTAGAGATCTAATGAGAACCTACTGTACAGCACAGGGAACTCTACTTGATGCACTTTGGTGACTTAAATGGGAAGGAAATCCAAAAGGGAGGGGATATATGCATATGTATGGCTGATTCACTTTGCTGTACAGTAGAAACTAACATGACATTGTAAAGCAACTATACTCCAATAAAAATTAATTAAAAAAATAAAACCAAAACAATTATAAGAAACTTTTCAGATTTTTCTAATTAAACGTACCTAACCATTATGCCCTGTGAAGGCAGGGACCACATCTGCTTTGTTCCCCACCGCTGCCCCAGGAGGGAATAACTCACATGCAGTCTCTCTTTCTTCAAGCCTCTTGAGATGTTTAGTCTGCTCTAGGCAAGAGGGCTGCAGGCCTGGCCCCAGGAGCAGACCCTGAGCTTCCCTGAAACGGCAGGAGGGAGGAGATGTATTCTTGCTCCGAGGAAAACAGCCGATCTCTCGGGCCCCTGAGATGCTTTTCACCGAGTCCCACATTAAACTGAAGCACTTAATCCACTGCTACCGTTCCTCCGCTCCATCTGGCTTCTACAATAATTGAAACTAGAAATGTCTGCTATGACTGCTGCTGGGGAGAAAGGCCTCAGTGCTGCCTCAAACTTTAAATGTTGGGTTTCTTGTGAAATTTGATTTCTGTTCTCTCTAGTTTTTTAGACAGAGAACTAAAAAAAAAAAAAAAAAAAAAAAAGGCCCTAAGCAAATGCAGCAGTGGGAACTTCAGGACCCTCAGTTCAATTCACAGCCTGCATGGGTGCCTGTAACTTCTGGTGTTGGGAAAGGGGTTAGGGCTCAATAATAAAGGCTCCTAGGGGCTCCCAGCGTCCGCCAGAGAGCTCAGATCCACCAGAGGCTTGAAGGTGGCCCAGCCCCACGAGAAAGGGGGCCAGGGTGCCTCCAACTGGGACCCCACTATTCACAGAGGTTGGACTCAGGCCACCCATACCCCAAGGTCACTGCCTAGACCCACCTTGAGAGGCTGGGCCTTAACTCCCCTCCATTCTCTCTCCCCTACCCTTTCCTCCTTTCCCTCCCCCTCTCTTCTTGTCTATCCTCCCCACCTCCCCCCTTCAACTCTCCCAGTCCTCTCCCCCCTGCCCCTCCTTCCTCCCCCCATCCCTACACTGCCCCCTCCCTCCCTTCTCTCTTCTCTTTCCTTCCCCCTCCTCCTTTCTCCTTCCTGACCCCCTTTCCCCCCCTACCCTGTCCTGTCCTTCTCTCCCTCCAACTTCAACGAAATAGATCAAATAGCTCTTTCTACTCTAAGAAAATCAAAGGTTAGTCCCCAGCAGAGGCCCTTTCTAGTTACCTGAAGGCCAAAACGTTCAGCAAACAATAAATAGCCACGCATTTCACCCTCTCGGTTAGAGAAAAGGGGCTATTCATGCCCAGAGGACACTAATTTTTGAAGAATCAGAGGTATTTTAAACAAGCCACCTCTCCACCAGTGGCTTTCCTTTCACAGGCTAACACATCTGCAGGCCTGGTAGCTTCTAACCTGCCTCCCCTCCCCACATCTAGGGACCAGAACAAGGGCACTGCAGAAGTGTTTACAGGGGCCGGAGTGGAAGGAAAGATGCTAAAGCTCTAGAAATTGTGACGTTCTCAGGAAAGGCTCTGGCGGAGCCCCAGCCAGGTGGCTGAGGCCCTGAGCTGCACCCCCATGCCGCCCACCACAGGCAGAGGCCCACCCTCCAGAGCAGAGGAAGTTCAAGCTCCAGGCCCTCACACGCTCCGGCCCTTCCAAGGCCCTGGGAAGAGCCGCAGCATTGCGTTCCCATGGTCCTATGTTTTCGTAAGATTTGCAAAAGGAATATATTTTAACCACTGTTGGGTTTGATCACTGTTTCTTTGTGCTACAGTTTCCCCTCCGTCATGCTTCTCGCCTGGTCAGATGGCTCTGGAGTGGCCCTGGGCAGCTGTGGGGTCCGACCAAGGGGAAGCCGAATTGGGAGCGCATTTAGATTGTATTTAGTGGGATGAGGCTGTGTGGTCTGCAGTCACTTCTGTGCAAGGGCAAGTCACTGCTGGCCAGCCTCCTGCAGCGACGGCTTACAGGAAGCGTGTCACGAGGCTGGATGGAAGATGAACATGTCCTATGGTGACTGGCTTCACAAGTCTGGGGGTAGTGGAGGAAAAACAAGGCTTCAAATGCACTGAGCCAGAAGCTAGTCTGTGGAAAATTCTTCCAGTCATGAGATGTGTACAATTCAAAGTGGAGGATTCTGTTCTCATTGATGCCCTGTCAAAACGGAAATTCAGGAATACATACATTCAGTGATGCAGCGTATACACTGATAAGCGTACTGGGTATTGTTGATGAGAATTGCATGAAGTGAAATTTATCAGAAATCTTGTCTTTTCGGGGTATAAACCTTTAGCAGTACTGCACACAGCAAGCATGTCTGTGTGTGTAAGGAACCATGTTTTAATGCCTCCCAATTATTAATAATTGTGATGACTCTGCTAGAGGAGAGACTACCTTGTCCTCCTATTCTCTCTCTATTTTTTTCTTTTTCTTTTTTTTTTTTGCGGTACGCGGGCCTCTCACTATTGTGGCCTCTCCCGTTGCGGAGCACAGGCTCCGGATGCACAGGCTCAGCGGCCATGGCTCACGGGCCCAGCCGCTCTGCGGCATGTGGGATCTTCCCAGACCGGGGCACGAACCCGTGTCCCCTTCATCGGCAGGCGGACTCTCAACCACTGAACCACCAGGGAAGCCCCCTCCTATACTCTCTTACACAAAATCATTATATCATATAAAGAGAGTAACAAAGTATGCAGGCAAAACTTAGGAGGAAAAAGTTATTTTAGAGGTATGTCAGGCAGTAAATTAATTAGAATATTATGTATTTTATAGATGTTGAGATGTCTGTTGCATTTGCCAGATTTTAAAATTATAAAATGTGTTATAATTTATTTTCTCTTTCTCTTTAAAGAGTCACTTTCATCCCTAATTTTGTATTTGTATTTTTGTATTAATTTGCCTAAAGAGAGCCCCCCAAATTGTATAAGTCTCAGGCCCCACAAACCTGGATCCTCCCTACTGCCAGCCTCCATGAGCATCTGGACAAAGGATCTGTTTTTCTTCTGTCCTGGGGAGCCTGCTGCAGCCTGGGCCACCACATTCCCAGAGCAGTTTTGTCAGTGAGTCCTGCAGGAAGAACAGGTGGCCTTCCTTCTAGGATCCCTGTTTTGGGGGCCATGGAGGTCTTTTCCTGAGCGCTCCCGCCCCAGGTTCTCAGGCTTCTGCTCTTGCTGGGAAAGACAGCAGCAGGGAACAGCTGTTGGTGCCCGATCTCACCAGCTGTGCAGAGGCCCAGCTGTACAAGTTCTCCTCTTGCCATACATCTATTTGAAGTTCTTTTGATTCAGGGAGAGGTAGGAGGGTTTTCTGCTAAACCTTTCGTCTGATTCCTATTGTCTTTGGTTCACGTGACCTGACCCAAGAGGCTGTGTCATTTCATCAGCAGCAAGGCCCTTACCAGTTCTCTGTTCTCTTTAACAGGGTTGGTGTGGACCCGGATGAGGATCAAAAGGAGCCCTCTTCACACCAGGCAAGTCAAAGAAGCCGATGCATAGAGTACAGCGATATGAGATCTTGTGTTCCGTAGCCAGGAGGCTCATTCTAAAGGGGGCTGGCCCCGCAGATAAAATAAATCAGATGACTATAAAATGCGCAGGAATTCAGGGTGTTGATAACCTTTGCGTAACCTCTAGAGTGCTTAGAACTAGCATACACTCGTGCCTTCTTTGTGGCTGCAGGAAGCCTGGAAACTGCAGTGTACGAGCAAGAGCACAGCTCTTGGAATCAGGCAGCCTGGAGTTCAGATCCCTGCCCAGCAACTTGCTAGCGCCGTCATCTCAGTGAAATGTACTTGATGCATGTTCGATGCATGTTGGGCACACAACAGATGGGCCTGCTTCTCCTGCATGATTTCTCATTTACCAGGTCCAGGTATACAGAAATACAGAAACACTGAAAATCTGCAAAAGCACAGCCTGAAAATCCTTAGGGAAAATTATTCAGAACAACGTGCTATCGCCTTGAGTAAGGGAAGTGTAGTCTCCACAAACTCTGGACTTGAATCTAACATCAGAGTAAAACCTGTCATTGGCAATTTTGCTTTGGTCATTTTTAACTCAGTACTTAAAGCAAACAATTGTGTAGAAATGTTGCACCTCTTGCTGAAATTGCAGGTAGACAGACACGATAGAATAACACCTTAAATAAGAGGTGCTGCTTAATGAATTGTGTCCTGATCATATCTGGATCTGAAGAGGATCCATCTCTCTTTTATTTCATGGGTTTTTTTCCTGCAGTCCCATCAGTGAGGCACAGCTGGTTAGTGCCGCCAGGCAAGATGCTGCTGCTTTCCTGGTTCACGTAAAGAGGGAAGGATCCTATGCTCTACACAAAGGGCTGGAAAATGAAGTTGGCAATGATCCTGGCTCATATGTACTTTGAATATTTTTGTCACATGTGTTCCAAGCCCATGCTGGTGCTGTTTTCACAGACTTTATTGCCCAGGAAAGACACTTAACTGCAGGACTGAGCCCAGCAGGGTGTCAGCGTACTGGGATTAGGGCCAGAGTGGTGACCTTCGAAAGGAGATCAAAGCCCGTCCATCTCCTTACACTGGTGGGCTGTAATGAGTCCTTAGGAAGGGCTGGTACAGATTTTCACAAAGCATTTTATCTCATATAGATCAACTAATCCATTCTTCTACTTTCACGGAGAACTTTTATCTAAATTTTGTCCTTCTCATATCTTTTTCTTTAAAAGAAAAGTGATAGAATAAGAAAATTCATCAAAGAAAATTCTTCATCTTCCTCTAACTGCCTAATATTTTACAATTACATATAATTATTGGTAAGGTTACCTGCTAGCTTAACTTTTTTCTTTTGTAATTTAAATGTACTTTATCTTAGCTCATTCATACCATTGTCAATTTAGTAATTACTCTTACCTGAAGATACTTAAACCAGTAGAAAGTATTTTTGTTGTTGTTGTTATTAGAGAAATGAGATAGTACAACATAGTACAATGAAAACTACGTGGTATTTGGATCTTGGGCAAGTTTTTTACATCTTTGAATCGCAATTTTCCTAACTGTAAAACGTGAATGATAATAGTGTCTACTTCTCCAGGTTGTTAGAATTATATTTATGAAAACTACCTAACTTAATTTCATTAAAACCATCTTATCTCGTGAAGGATTTGATGAAGCAGCTTACATCACCACATATGATAATAGTAAAATATTTTTTAAGAACTTTAAAACTCAGTTAAAAAAACTAATGAAAGCAGAAACAAAACCAGAGGAGTAAAAAGAATCATGAGTAAACAGATCATAAGGTCCTATGTACTTGCTAAAGTTGAACCACAAGTAAGCTTTCTGGTAACCAAAGGGGGGGAAAAAGGAAATGATAACCAGTAATATACTAAATTACTATAATTAGAGGGGAAAATTATACTCTGTCCTCAAGCTGTACAGAAGTTCACAGGCCACAATTTCTTGCTTGGGGCTTCCTGTAGAGGACACATAAAGAGTTATCTAACTAACCCTGGTATAATTTACATGGTTCCTACTAGTCTTCTGCCGCTATTGTTTTTTAAAAGTGTCCTGGAAGTGTTCTTATTCATGATGGTTGACTACCGAGGTAACTACGTTTCAGAAAAAGGCTTTTTCTACCCTTGGAATAATTCTTATGTTCAATGTCAAGTACAGGAAATGGTGGGCTCAGGCCAGAAGTAACAAACCACAGCGTCCATGCAGCTGCCACTTGACCTGGACAGAGGGGGTTTTTTGGTACTTTCCAAACTATGTGTCAAGAACCTGTCGGCCCTCATTTTGCCTGACAACTCTTCGCTTATTATCAACACCTGTTGCTCTGACTAAAGACCAGAAACCTAATTCTTAGGAGGATTGCATTTTTCCACTCAGCTTGCACTTATTAAATTGGTCTTACATTAACAAATAGGATAATCTTTGCACTGGTCAACTTCTGAAAAAAAGACCTTACTCTTACTTGCCCAAAGCTAAAACTTTCAGATAATTGTGGCAATTACTGATCATATACTCTCAAAATCAATAATAAGCATATGTAATGACATATACTTTTTTTTTTTTTTTTTTTTTTTGCGTTACGCGGGCCTCTCACTGTTGTGGCCTCTCCCGTTGCGGAGCACAGGCTCCGGACGCGCAGGCTCAGCGGCCATGGCTCACGGGCGCAGCCGCTCCGCGGCATGTGGGATCCTCCCGGACCGGGGCACGAACCCGTGTCCCCTGCATCGGCAGGCGGACTCTCAACCATTGCGCCACCAGGGAAGCCCGACATGTACATATTTTTGAAGGAATTTCCTTTTTCTCTGTTTCTGGAGAGTAAAATAACCTTTGGGTAATATGAACTTGTGGCTGTGACTAACCAGCAATGTCACGATTTTCCTTTTTGCCTTGTAATACCTTGAAAGTGTGAATGGTGTTACACTCTTACTCATACCAGACCCAGAAGCTTTAAAAAGAATGTTCCACAAGCAAGTATTAAACTTTAAATATATAGTCTATGCAAATGTGCCACTTTGAGAAATGGAAGGTATCGCAGTTGTGATTTTATGTCTCTTAAATGTAAAAAAAAAAAAAACAACCCTCAGACAAAATTCCACCACCCCACCCTCGCCCCAACAAGAAGTTGTCCTTGTAATTGATTCTGTGTCCTTGGCAGCCCAGCATTACAAAGGTGAGACTTGCTGGAGCGCCACGCCCCCCTTAATCTTTCAATAGAAAATTCCCGCTACCCAAGAAGGGCTGCCACGATTGCTTCTCTTTTTCCCTTCTTGCCCTTTTTCGTGATCATCCTAATATTTGTGGAGTACTGACTCTTGTTATTAACCCTGTTCTAAGCACTTTATCTGTGTTAACTCATTTATCTTCCAAGATAAACCTATGAATGGGTAGTTATTATACTTATATTTTAAATAAGGAAACTGTATACAGAGAAGTTAAGTAACGTACCAAAGGACACATAGTGAAATTCAAACCCAGAATCTGGTTCTAGAACTTCCACTCTTAATTGGTGCGCGTGCGTCTATTCGTTCATTCATTCATTCATTCATTCATACAACCCACCCATGTCAGGCACAAATCTAAGTGTGAGGAAGATGCAGCAGTTACCAATTCAAAGTCTTCACCCTCACAGAGCTTACGCTCTAATGGGGGACACTGGGAACAAAAAGGTAAACAGCTACATACTATATGTTTAGAGAATGGGAACAGTAGAGCAGGTACAAGGATGGAGAACAATGGAGGAGAGGCTATGGCTGGCCAGGGCAGGCCTCTCTGAAGAAGTGGCATTTGATCAGAGTCCTGAACGATGTGCAGAAGTGAGATGTATATGTGGGCTCTGGGGGGAAACAGTCCAGCCAGAGGGAACTGCAAGGATGAAGGCCCTGGCCTCACAGCGGGTTATGGTGCGCTCCATGCGCAGCAAGAAGGCCAGTGTGGCTGGAGCCCAGTGGGCAAGGTGGGAGCCAGTGCAGGTGGATTCGGAGGGACCGAGAGGGGCCAGATCACCGGACACGGTGGTGATTTTGATTTCCTTCTATGTGTGATGGCAGCAAAAACTTGCAGGTTTGGAACTTAAAAGTAATGGGATCAACTTTTTTAAAAACTCATTTTTCTTCCATTTCCGACTCTGCCAACTGTTACAGTGAAGCTAATTTTCATCTTTTCTAACATAATTTTATTTTGGACACTATGCTGGCTCCTCTATGTGCTCTCTTAATGCTAACTTCCACTTTTATTTTTGCTTCGAGAAGTCCCTTCATTGAATTCTGGTTTTGGTTGTCATTTATGCTTGTGTGTAACCTGGGTGGATAAGTTCTGGTCACCACAGCTCAAGAAAGTCAAAGCGGAACTGAGAAAGGTCCAGAGAAGGGCAGCTTCAATGAGCAGAGGGAGATTAAAAGAATTACGATTTCAGCGGGCTTCCCTGGTGGCGCAGTGGTTGAGAGTCCGCCTGCCGATGCAGGGGACGCGGGTTCGTGCCCCGGTGCGGGAGGATCCCACATGCCGCGGAGCGGCTGGGCCCATGAGCCATGGCCACTGAGCCTGCGCGTCTGGAGCCTGTGCTCCGCAACGGGAGAGGCCACAACAGTGAGAGGCCCGCGTACCGCAAAAAAAAAAGAATTACGATTTCTCCAGCAGAACGACTACCACTAAGAAGGGATACAACAAAGTGTCTGTAAAAATATGGAGGGTATGAGTCAGGTGAACAAAGACTTGTTTGCCAAATCCCAGAAAACCATAACTTAAAACACCCTTGAAACTGAAAGAGCTCATTTGGAGAAGAATAAAAGTATGTGTTCTTCTGCACAATTGATACTTAAATGCTGGAAATATAAGTAGGTTCAAGAGCTCGGATCTAACAATTATCAATATTTTTCCATACTATGTCCCCATGCTGTTGGAGCTGGCCTCACAGAATGTAAATTCTGTGCTATACCAACAAATATTTCAGAAATAGAAGAGTAAACTCTAAAATTGACCTGACCCAG